TCTTCCACACAGCTTGCAAGAATCTTGTACCTGTAGCACAATTGGAGAGGCCAAGTCTCCTTAACTATAACCCCCTTAACTTTATACCTGCTCCACCTCTCCTGCCCCTGATCAACGATCTATTTTTAATCACTTAGTGTGAGGCATGTGACCACTCTCTGCAGTAAAGTGTCCAGGTAACTTCCACATTCCTTGATGTGGCAACTGCAACTCAGATTTCAGCTGGTCAACTCAGATCAGAAATTTCTCAAGCTGCGAACATTGTGTTCACTTTGGATAACGTTGTTGTCCAGCAGCTTCCACACGTTGCAGAGGCAAATGATTACTGTCACTAATGTGAAAATCAAAAGAATTGCAGATGCTGTAAATTAGAAACAAAAATAGAAATTGCTGGAAAAACTCAGCAGGTCTGGCAGCAACTGTGGACAGAAATCAGAGTTAACATTTCGGGTTGAGTGACCCTTCCTCAGAACTCAGTTCCCTGATTTCTCAGAACTCTGATTTCTCACCAGGGATGCTGCCAGACCCGCTGAGCCTTTCTAGCAAATTCTTTTACCATCACTACTGTATTTGATTATGTGCCAAATGCTGGCAAATGGGACTAGATTTATTTAGATATCTGGTTGGAATGGATGCTTTGGACCAAAGGGTCTGTTTCTTTGTTGTATCTCTCTACAGCTGTAAGATACCCTGCTTTTGGATGAGTTGCATGTTACATAATTCATGCATTTCTAAATGGTATGAATACTTTTATAGAATTTCAAACTTCATTGCTTGTGAACTGCTTTGGCATGTCCGGAAGACTTGATAAGGCACCAAATAAATTAAAGTTGATTTTTTCTTGTTATGATCAGGTGAGGAATGATGTATTGGATCTCCTCTTTTCAACTACCTGCATTTTGTTTATGAATGATTTCATGAACTGGCTCTACCTGCTTTCAGATGATTGTTGTGACCACCTTAAGTGAGTGATTTTCTTTTTAAAAATTATTTTAGGTCATGAAAGATTCTAGGTATTAAAGATCAGGTGGAGAAATTGAAAATTGATAAGTCTATTCACTTTTACCATAATCATATAATTCCTCACCACAAGGAAGGAAAGCAAACAACTTTTCTCCTTTCAGTTTATAATGAGCGGTCCATGACAAGATTTGTATGAAATGACAATACAAAAATTATGGCAACATCACACAGACATTCTGCATTCACTCTCTTCATCTTAAGTTGGTTCAAAAGCTGTTTTGGGAATGGCAGCTGGATTTGTTCCCGGGGCTGCAACACCTTTCTGAGTTTTAATTCTTTACTATCCAGTTCTACAATCCTTACATCAAATTTGGGCATTTCTACAAATTTGATTTCTAGGAAGTCAGAGGGCGGTAATCTGATGTTTACGTTCCAACACTTGTATGTTACACCTTGCTCTCATTGAAATTTATATCAACCATATAGACTGGTTGGGGTTTAAAACTTAGTTTTGTTCATTTGATCTCCAAGTGGGTAACTCCATTTTTATCTCACTGATATTCCCCTGATGATCTTCGTCAATGGTGTCTGTGTGGGATAACTTTCCTTCTCTTTTTCCTTTGTTCTGAAGAGGGCTTTCTCTCTAGCCTGTTCCACGTTTTCTGCACAACTACTATAATTAATTGGATGTACTCCCTGCAGCTCAACCACTAAGTGAGGCCTCAACTTCACATTCTCTTGGCGTGTCTGAGAATTCCTTTGCACCCCCCCACCCTGTTATTTCACCAAGGAGGGATCTGTTTTCCAGGTGGTGTCCTTTCACCTTTTGTCACCTTCCCTGACCCTTACTTGTCTTCTTTTATAGCTATTGCCATAACTCAGGCTCTCTTAACTACTTTAGGCTCTGACTTGAGCTGTTCTGATACTGCTAGACTATCTTTAACTCTGTTTAATTCAAGTGACTCTTCTTGGAGTCACTCCGAACCTTAAAGATTTTATTGTCCCTGGAGGCTTCTGAAACTCTTTGAGTTCCTGGTCTCTGAGCAGCTTACTCTTCTTGAGCTACTACAATGCCCATAAATCTTTTTGCCTCCAGTAAGGCTCTGAATTTTTTGGTTCCCAGCCTTTCTGCCACTTGCTGCTGGCATTCTTTCCACTTGCTCTGGACTGTTCTTTTCTATTTGAGGGAGATTGCTTACTGCCAGGCAAGTCAGTTCTCACTAAAATATTTATCCCTGCCATTGGTAAGCTTGCATTTACCCTCATTGTTACTCAACTCACAACACCAGTTCACTCTCTAGGTAAACTTTAATCAGCATTTGTTACCCATCCTTTATTCCCTTTGAACTGAGTAATTTGCTACGCCACTTCACAGGACAGGTAATGGCCAACTACATATTGTTGTTGGCACTTAGTCACATGTAAACCAGCCAAGTTAAGGATGGAAGATTCCCTTCCATAAACAACATTAGTGAACTAGATGGGTTCTATAACAATTGATGATTGTTCCATAGTCACTATTATAAAGGTTGCCTTTCAAACTCCAATTTTATTTATTAATTAAACTTAAATTTCACCAGCTGCTGTGGTGGACCTGGGTTCATGTCCTATAACATATGAATGCACGCCCCATAAATGTGGTTCCTTCACCAGGGCCACTTCATTAGGATTCTCCCTTCTTAGCGCAAGATGTCCGAATTTAAATTTCACTTCTCTTTCCCATTCACTTCCTAGGAATTTTCTCTCTTCTTTTAATTCCCGCCTTTCTTTCTCTTTTTTTCCCTTCCTCCCTCCTTCTCTTTTTCTTTGTATGGAATTCTCTTTCCTCTGTTTATGTTGGAATTCCTGTCCTAACCTTAGCTGTTCCAATTTTACTTTGTATGTTTCATGATACTCAGTTTCTCCCTAGATGTTTTGTCAGCCATTTTGCAATTTCTATTTCTCTACCTTTCGCATGGAGCTCCACTGCCATATGCCTCACTACCTCTTTTAATTACTCCAAGGACACTTCCTTTAATACAGCAGGACAAAATAAATTTAGAAAAATTGAAGTATTGTCAAACACAATAACGTAGACTTTTGCAGCATTTTCTGAATAGCATTTTACGGAATAATTTATTTTTCGCACTCCAGTTCTTTTGTTCACCTGTGGGACTCCAAGAACTCCTTTTTTAAACCCCTCCAGTTGTCTGCAACAAAGGTTTTAAAATTATTTTTAGCATACAGCTATATCAGGCTTAAATTAAAATGCAGTTCTATAGTTAAAAAAACTTACATAAGGTTTTCTTGATTGAAAGGAGCAGGAATTTTATGACTTACTTTTCCCAAGAAAATAATAAACTGTGTCACCCCCACCACCCTCGCTCCCACTGCCCCAACATACACACAAATACAGGTATAAATTTAAGAAGGAGAGAACATTTAGGACAAAAAGGAGGAGCAAGAATATGCAATTTACAAGTCCTTAGAGTTCCTGATGTGTTAGGCTTAACATGAGACTACACTTGTTTAATTGATGACTTACATCCTCCATGGTACCAAAATTTGTAGCTATCTTAAGAGTTCTCTATGAATAAATATTTCTCACATCTGCTGAGAACAAAATAGGGGGACAGAGAGAGAGAAAAACAGACAGCAAGCACAAGCCATTCAATTTTGCTGTTATGAATCTATCATCTTTCTCACTCCTTTGTCCCAAAGTAGTTTCCTGGAATACAGTTCATTTGTGAATTCCCATGTCTGGCTTTTTTAAAAGGCTACATTATCTGCAGGTAACCTTTATCCCACAAGTGAAAACCCCAGAAAGATGCAAGTCAAACGAGAGACACAGGCCTGAGTAAAGGCAAAATACTATACATGGTAGAAATCTGAAACAAACTCCGAACATGCTGGAGAAATTCCACAGGTCTGGCAGCATTTGTGGAGAGAGAACCAGTTCCAAAAAAAAGTTATACTGGACTTGAAATATTAACTCTCTTTCTCTCTCCATAAATGCTGCCAGAGTGCTGAGTTTCCCACGCATTCTTTGTGTTGTTTGACACAGATTAATGCGACTGGTTCAGTCATTTTAAAGACATATTAATGTCAGTTAAGAATGGCTTTTATTTCATTTATTTGTTTTTCTTGAAAGGAGAAAGCCAAGAGGAGACGTGATGGCAGGTTTCAAAATCAGGAAGAATCTGGACAGAGTAAATAGGGGATCTGTTCCACTTATAAGAGGATCAAGAAACAATGGCTATATTTAAAGTGTAAAAGAAGCAAATATAAGTGAAAAAAAATTCTCACACAGCGAGTAGTTAGGATCTGGAATTCACTACCTGGAAGTGTGTAGAGGCAGGTTCAACTCAAGCATTCAAGAGGACATTTGGTGATTATTTAAATAAAAGCAACATGTAAGGCAATGGAAGATTGGCACAAGGTCAAAAAGCTTAGAGAGCTGATGTGGACATGATGGGTGAATAGGCCTTCTGTAGTGTAACACGTCTGTGATTTATTGATAGTTTTACAAATTGGCTCAATCTGTGCTCAAGAGTTCATTGCAGCTATGTGAAGTCAGTATCTTTAAACCATTTTAGTCCATGTTCTTGTATGAAAAATCAGACGACGGAAATAAAATGTTGAAAGTCTTTTGTCAGCACTATCATAATACTTATTTTGAGGTACATTGTTAAACAAACTAGTTACATAAATTGAGAAGAGATCCTGTGCCTCAAATTTGACCACCTTCAATTTTACAAACCAATAAAAATAGCAGACTTCCTGCTACTCCTCTTATTCTAACAATTTCAATAGTAACTTTGGTTTTATGTCAATTTCAGAAAAAAAAATTCCCATGAACTTGTTGCATTCAAATGGCATCAAAATACTTTCTCAAAGAGGTCCACACAGAAAATACATTGACAAGGTGAAATCAAAATCCCATTTCAGAACAACATAACATTCCAAATGATTTAATATCACTTCCAACCATGAAACAACTAGAATAGGTCAAGTCATTGTTATACAGAAAAGTTGGCAATTCAAACAAATGCACTCACCCAAGGGGCAGAAGGCATAATCAGTGTGAGGGTCAGCAGATCAATGCAGCAATCTTCCAGTGATTGGTTGCATGTAACCGCCTGATTTAGCAACCTGGCATAGAAAACACCAGGAAGGATACGGTAAACTTGATCATGAGATACTTGGCCAGGTACAAGAATAAGGTTCAGTGTATGTTTGATTGCATTCAGATGTCTGTACAGCCGGCAGAGCTTTGTTTCCAGGACAGACTATAAAACATTGAAATTAAAAATTAAAATGTTATAAAATTTAATGAAAATCAAAACACAAGAATTGCTGAATGTAGACACAGGTTTGGATAGCTTGTTCACCAGCTAAGACAAGCGAACTGAAAATATAATTTAAAAAAAAAATAAATAACAAGCAGGAAATTGCATATCGTAGGTATCTGAAACAGAACTAAAAAAGTGCTCGAAACACAACTGATCAGACAGTGGTTGTAGACTGAACAAATGAGTTAAGACTTCAGGCATATACAATTTCATCAGATGGTGAGTAGTTTACTTTGCAATTCTGGCACTTTCTTTTGGCAAAAGTAAACTCCTATGGGAAAGATGTTTGTAACATGATGCGCCAATAATTCAGTGGTTACACTAATACTTTAAGCGAATAAGTAAGTGAATTTAAAAAGCAAAAGTGTCATGGCCACAAATTTTTCATTCAACCTAAAAGAACAATTGCCGGAAAAAATAAATTAACAAAAGTGACATATAAAAAGAATGTATAGACTTCCGTAGTTCTGAATGCTCACCAGTGAATATTTTGCTGAATAATTTTACATTTGCAAAAACAAGCTGCTTGAATGGAAGTACGGGGCAGAATTTTCCCTTCTCGAAAACAACATGGGCATTGATGAGTCAGTTGGGAAAATATGATTCCACCCTTGGGTGACTGCACAGTTTGCACGTTCTCCCCGTTTCTGCATGGGTTTTCACCAGGTGCTCCGGTTCCCTCCCACAGTCCAAAGATGTTGCAAGTTAGGTGGATTGGCCATGCTAAATTACTCATAGTATTCAGGAATATATAGGTTAGTTGCATTAGATCTGGGAAATGCAGAGTTACAGGGACTGGATAGGGGGATAGCTCTGGGTGGGATGCTCTTTGGAGGGTGTGTGTGGACTCATTGGGCTGAATGGCCTGTTTCCACATTGTACAGATTCTATAGATATGGCAAGATTAGTAAGTGATATTCTTGATGTCCGAAACGTCCAATTTTCTGTCCAAGGTTTTAATGACAAGATGGAAATTTTGTTATTGCATGGCGAGAGGACTATTTGCATATATAAACATCTCATAACCTAATCTCATTTATATGGAGTTTCCTATTTTGCCTAGCAATTCAGAGAAAATAGATGGTGACAATTCCTGACATTAAGGTCTGAGCAGATACCTGGCAGTTCCAGCTTGCCACTTGCTTCTCTGGGCCTCTACTTTGGCCAGTGTTCTCCAAAATCTCAGGGCACTGAACAATATATTATTATGATGTTTATGAACTTGGATTTGAAAGTAAACGAAAATAGGGTCTTGGCTTTAGTGCTGTTTGCTTAACAAGACTCTTCTCATTAGATCAAAAGGTGACTACTCTCACATAGTTTTCCATGTAAGCCCCAAAAGAACCCACACATTTAGACAAGATGGACAGCAACACACACAACAATCTAAAGTAAATTGCTCTATAGATTACATACACATTTACATGTTTTATTTTACCTTTGTATTAATCTAAAAAAATTCTCCCTTGCAAGTGTAAATAACGTTAGGGATGGGTGACAATTAAATATGTACTAGGCATTCTACAGTAAAATAGTTTTTTTCACATTAAGGACTTTGTCTAAAGATAAATTGGAAAACATATCGATGAACTTAACATGACCTGTATTGCTTTGCAGTGATGTTCACAAGGTTCACCACTGAAGAAACACTTCTTACAACAAGATCTTACAACAAAGTTATGCTCATGTATGGCATTGATGAATACACCTCATGATTTTAAGAACATGTATATGCTAAAACATTTTGATAAAAAGCATATTATAGGGTCATTGGGACTGCTACATAGAAAATACAATGGAGAAACAGGCCATTTAGCCCAACCAGTCCATGCCAGCATTTATGCTCCACTCAAGCCTTACCATCCTTCCTCATAATTCCAGTGACATAACCCTCATTCCCTTCCCTTTCATAAGCTTATCTGGACTTTTCTTATTCATCTCAAACATTCCCTGTGGCACTGAATTATACATTGCCATCATTTGCTAGGAAAGAAGTTTCTTCTAAAACTCCTCTGATTTCTTTGTGACTTATATTGATAGCCTCCGGGTTGTACTATTGCTACAAGTGGAAACATTCTATAACTGTATGAAAATATTTCATAATTTTATAGACCTCTATTAGGTATCCCCTCAGCCTTATCTTTTCAACAGAAAACAGTCACAAGCTATTCATATAGATAAATTACATCTATTACATTAAATGGTTCTCTAGACATATACTATTGTCCTTACTAAAAAACAGGCATCCACATTTTCTAGGTAATTATTTATTGTGAATTATAATACTTTGTCTCTCCTCCAGATTGTTTTAAAATTCAAACTGTCCAGGTTATATACTCTTTTGATAGCTTATTTATTATACATCCTCTTTTTATTTTAAATGTTTTTGCATCACTACCGTAACCTTATAAAGCTTTGTATAGAATGATATTACTTTGTGTATAAGTTCCCAAGAAGGATGAACGCTTTCAAATGTGGCACAGTCAGTAATTTTCCTGGTTGGCACTGTCAGCAAGGAACTTCATCTGCCAGCCATGAATGTTGAAAATCACAGGCATGTTGCACTTCACTTCCCCAATGAGCAGCTGGCAGTCAAGATGCCTGGCTGGCAGCAAAGTTTCAGAAAATCTATCCTCATATGTTTTGATGATGCTGGAGCAATGGAAATGCAGAGAGGAATGCAGAGACACAGCCAGCTACTTTATTTATTTTTTTTATTAATACATACTTTTGCAAATAACTATATTGTTTTAAAGATAATTTCTGTGAGTTTATATTAAACTCAAATGGTTTTATCAATCCTTAATGAATTTTCTTTAATATATCTTTACTTTTCTTTAATATTTCATCACTTAACAAATTCCAAAGTAACTGTTGGCAGAGATAAAAGGCCTTCATTATTTAAAAGTTAGCTAAAATGTTTAATTTGTAATTATGCTAAATAAAACTGTAATCTGTTAATTTGCTGTGAAAATTCATATAATTACATTTTTTTACACCACAAGAATGTCGACATCACTGGTCACTAATGATTTAATACTGCTCACAAAATTCACAGTAAGGCCTCAGAAACTGGGAACTGGCAATAGAACTACAAGCTACATCTTCAAAAGTACTGTTAAAATATAAAATACATTATTAATACTTTTCTTTTGCATTAATACAAACATTACTAGTTCATTTGATAATCTAAAATTGACAGTTCAGTTAAGTCTGCTTTGATTAATGATAATTGAGAGGGCTTTGTCTTTGCATCAGTCATGGTTGGCTCTGCTCCCTTTCTCCTTCTCTTTGGAGGAAACTGACTGCTGTCATTTGTTGAATGTGTCAAAGAGGGATGCAGGAATTTAATGACCTCAACATCTGTTCTTACTGGTTACAGAATGTTTTATGTTATAAAATGGGCATCAATCCCAGGCAAGCACATCACTGAAATATGTTCCTGTACACCACCATATGGTTCATGGTGATATTTATACACAATCATCATGATTTTTCCTTATGAATGCCCATAGTGAGACAAGATCAAGCATCACCTTCAGATGAATTGGAGTTAGAAGGCAGAAAATAATTGGATCAAGGCATGTAGATACCATGTAGAAGAAGTTCCATTTTAAAGTAAAAGATTCTGCCTGTATTTTATATAGTACTTTGATATTATGGAATACAGTTAAATCACAACATTTGATCAATTTTGAATGCCAATAAGTAGATTTGATTGGAATACGGACATTTCTGTACAAGGTCTCAGCATGATCACTGGTGGGAAGGTGTAGATTTATTGAAGCAAGTTTCCAGCTGAATCTTCAATGACCCATGTCTGTGGGGTTGGGAATAGTAGGACCTCAAAGTTAGGAAAGAAATCTTGCCAATCTGACCCCATGGCATGTTCCCATCACAGGATCCTGGAGAAGTTGAATTGCTGTTTGCAATGGTAACCTGCCAATTTGCAGGCAAGCTCCCAAAGATAACTGGGTTTTTGAGCTAGTGCAATGGACGCCTGTCATGTTAGGTGGCTCCAAACTATTTGGAAGTCTCCATTCTAAAAGTTATTTATAACTGCAGCAGTAGTCTTAACTGTAGGGGCTCTACTCTTATCCCTACCTTCCTGGCCTTATTTATCTGATTTGTGGTCGCGATCAGGAATAGATGTGTCTTAGGTCCTTTTTGAATAGCTCTGCACCTCTCATTTTTGGCAGTGTGGCCGTCAATCTTCGACTTTTGAAAATTATTCATACATGGGATGAATAAGACAGCATTCACTGCCTACTGCTAATTGCTGTGGAGAAGGTGATGGTGAGCTGCCTTCTGAACTGCTCTACTGAAGGGACACCCACATTGCTGTTAGGAAGGGAGTTTCAGCTTCTTTGACCCAGAAACAGTGATAGAGTTCCTAGTTGGGATGCTGTATGACCTGGAGGGAAATTGCAGGCAGTGTTGATCCTACACATCTGCTGGCTTCATTATTCTAGTTAGTAAGAGATCATAGGTTTGGAAGATGCTGTCAAATAAGGGCTGGGGACTGTTGATTAGCTTCCTACTGACCTGCAAACGTTGGGTGCCCTCCCACCAACATCAATTGTATGGCAAGTCCTCTGTCTGCAAATTGATCAATCCAACAAAAATCGCAAAGAGAATATCAAGCTCATGCTCTGCAGGTTTGAAGCCTCGCAAGAAAAATGACTTCTGGTCTTGACCCTTGATCAAGATTCCTGGCCAGAAGTCCTACATTCTTTATACTTCCATTACAAATTCCTTTGTTCACATATATATAATGGACACTGCCCAAGAAAGTTGTCATGCTGTAATTACATATCTCCGGTAGTGGAGCTGTTTTAGTTCATGTAGTGGTGGGTAGGAATACTTATAGCATAACAAATTTGCACAGGCAGTTTCTATTATAAATTTGGTCAATGACATTTATGATGAAAAGAATTGACAGGAAATGTACAGATAAAATAATTGTTAATTTATCACTATTTACGGACAGGCAATAAATGCTGGCCAGCCATTCATGATCCATGAGTAAACAAAAACAAAATCTGCATCATTACATACGCTCAGCTGGTGAGAACTGTTATGTTCCCATCTTCTCTTGCTTTATCTTCTCCCAAGACAGGAGGTCACATCTATTATTAAACTGTATCTTGAATTTTTCAAACTTAAACATTTTTAACTGGTTGAGGTGTTAACTGCACAGACATTTCGGTTGGGAACATCTTGTTTCCTGTATATGGGTGAATTGCTGTACTTGGTGCAGAAAGGCCGTCTTTTGGCAACGTCTGTGAATGGGTCCAATACTAATGACATTTCCTCAGTTTCAGAATCAAACAACAAGCAATTAGCAATTTATAATCAACTATAAAATTGACTTCATCAATAAATATAAAATGAACTCATGAGGACTTAATACAAGATTTTTTAAAAGTGGGAAGTTTCTCAGCCGCTTTTTTTTGTTGATAGCCACTTTTTTGAACAATAAATTAAGTAAACCTAAAAAGTTTACTCACTTGCAACATCATAATTTGCAAATAACAGAAAATACACAAGAATAATAAATTATTCAAAGTCAAGGAAAACTACAATGACTAAAAATTCTTCCTGAAAACAAGTTTTAACAATGTTTCAATTTTATATTCTCCCTCTTTTAGGATATTTTAACCATTTTCACCTGGGTAAGTAGGCATACAACGTATCCACAGGTTTCTGTCAAATGCAATTACCATTTGGGTGAGCATATTGATCTTCTGTGCTTTGGACAGCCATTGTCACAAAATGGTCAGAAATATTTATATTCAACTGCTTCACTCTGTGATACTTAAACATACTAATTGTGTACAATTTTGGTCTCTTCATTTGAAAAAAGAAATGAAATTGTTTTAAAAGCAATTCAAATATGGTTCACAAGACATATTCCTGGGATGAAGAAAGGTTAAATAGGGTAGGCCTATGCCCTTTGGAGTTTCGAAGAATGAGAAGTGACCTTATTGAAAAATATAAGAAACTGAGAGTCTAGTACAGGTGAACAGCCAGAAGATGTTTCCTCTTGTGGTGGAGTCTTAAGAATAAGATGTTTTAAGATTTAAAGGAGGAAAATTATTTTTTTTCTCAAAGGGTTGTAAGAGTGTGGAAGGTAATAGAGGCTGGGTATTTAAATTTATTCAAGGCTTTTTAGGGAGACTTTTAATTGAAAAGAGAGTCATGGGTTACAGGGTAAGGACAGGAAATTGGAGCTGAAACCACGGCCAAATCAGTCATGATTTTATTGAATTGTGGAGCAGATTAAAAGAGCTAAGAGGCCTTTCCTGCTTCTAACTCCTAGACTCCTACACTTAAAAATGGCAGTTCTTGCATCAATTCTTTATTTTTTTCACTATAAAAACTTACTATTGGAAAATTGCACAGAAAAACGATGATCAAGTTTGTGCTCATTTGAAAATTAATCTAACATTGAAGAATTTTAAACCGCAACTGTCAATGAAAATGGTAACCATTGGTAGAATGTAACTTATTGCCCATGTAAATACATATTAATATTTACAGACTGGGACAGGCTTGGATTCAAAGATTAATCTATGAGTTCACATATTATTGGTGCACAAAAATTAGGAATTTAGTTTATATACTAGTATTAATGCATGATATGATTTTTGACACACTAAAGTATTCAAGTTACCATTTTTTCACAGTAAACCACCATTTAATGCTGCAGTGTTAGGGAGGAACAGCTGCCTACTGCTGAACTAAGTCCATGCTCATTCCCCATGGCATTTTCTTTTTAAACTAAGCTGCAGACTAATTGGAATCTGGTAGAATGAATGCAGCAACTCAACATGGACAAAAGTCCTTTCCAATAAAAAAATGTAATTCTTTACACAAAGGATAGGCGGGATCTTCCAGCTGTTGGGAGGAAATCACATTAAAAACTGGCTTAATTTTTTAAATCTATCATGTAATTGTGAGTAGCAATGTTCTACTATGTTTTTAAAATGCTTCACTCTCTCCAATGAACCTTTCAACAATTGCTAAAACAAGAAAATCTGTCACTTTAGGGGAAAAAATTCTTCGCTCTCTGGATAATGATATAAAACAAGGAACTAATTAAAGCACAATATATTGTTTTCAGACAGCATTGGAAACACTGGAAGTATCTAGAGCTGAACTTGAACATTTGTTATATTTAGTCAATAAGCAGGTGTATGACATGATAGAGTGCACTTCATAAATAATTTAACTTGGGAATAATTTACAACTTGATAGTCAAGATACAGGTTGAAATAGTGTACTCAAAAGTGCGATCTATAGAGACTGGAAACTGTCACTGTGAATTTGTTCCAGTTGGAAACTGACAGGTCAACTCCTTGACACAGGGAAAAAAAAAGTAATGCACTCTTCCACCCAATTTTTATGACGTACATAATGTTTTTTCATCAGACACTTCAAAGTCACTGCATCTGCAGTTAGTATTGAACACAGAAGAGCTGGAAAAATTGGATTCTATAAAAGTCAACAGCCATAAAGGTCACAGACACAGCTGCACAATCTGAGCTGTGCCTCCAACATTCAATTGTGATTACTGTCATCAATTCGATTCTACCCCAACTAATAGGAGTCCAGTAAACTCTGCTGTGAAGCTCTCAGGCAGGCATGTTCAGGGAGTAATTCAAAAATTTAGATTGTCACTATTATTTGTTTTCTGTGGTGGTTAGTGAAACAGCTGCATGTAAATTATATACTCCAAAAGAAGAACTGAAAGACATGCATGGTTTTAATGATTAATCCAGTGAGCAACATTGTACAGTGCTTCCACTTGAAAATACATGATAGATAGTGAGTGAAGATAGGGAGGAATGTGCAAGTGATTGGAGTCTAAGGAAATGAGAGTTCTGCAGAAATTATAAGGCTAGAGACGCTTTCAGAAATTCTGAGGAATGATACCATGAAAAACATAAGAATGGGAATCCTAAATTGAAACTCTTAGGAGACCAGAAACCAATGAGGTCAGCAAAGACAAGAGTGAGGGGTGCAATGGCCTTAAATATAGGTGTCACAGTTTTAGATGAGATGAATTTACAGAGTAGGTTGGATAGTAGGATTCCCAAGAAAGCACAGAAACTGTTAGAGAAATCCAGAGATGGAAAATAAAAATATTAATTGTAGATCTGCTTTTATTCTCATTTAGTTCAATTGTTATTGATTTTCTTATTCAAGTTTTCAATGTTCAACAATCCAGTTTAATAATGATTGACTGGCTAGTACATCTTAGATTTGCATTTATACTTACCACATACTGAAGGTTCAGGTTATCCGTCTTGCCATAGCAAAGATCTAGGAGACTCACAGGTTGGTTAATCAGGTTCCTTCCTGACATTAGCCACATCATGGAAAGGTTTTCAACATTTGCTGCCTAAAATAATTTAAAGAATATATGTTCAGAATTAATATCACTGGATTTTAATTCCAAAGATAATAAAGCACAACAGTGCATGCATTGCTATGGATTTTCAGTAAGTAGCATAATAAAGTGGCTTAATAATCTAAATTTGACAACCTAAGGCTGTAGAAGTTCTAATTTGCAAAATCTTTTCCAGAGGCAATCTAACATTTTATTCACTGTCCTATTTCATAAAATTGACTTTTTTATAGGCAGAGTGACAACAGCAGTTAAACCAAATCAGCCCACTGAATAATTACATCAAACATTTACAGAACAAAATGCAAAAATCTGCTGAACCTTCTGCTGAGTCCTCCCCACAGCATGCAATGCAGATATGGTATTGATATACATGTCTGCAAGATGGGAAGGTACAATAATCAGGTTTACGAAGAACACTGAATTTCTAAAATTTAAACCTCACAAGATTTGAACAGAAACGCAACAGAAACAATAGCAATGACATCTTTGGGTTTCCACATGATGTCTTCAGGAGACTGGCTACTAATGACTTAAAATATTACATGTTGAAAGACAAATTCTAGTGAAAATTTACAACTCTGATATTAATTCCAATGGCTATTCTATAATGAATCCTCCTGCCACTCAGTTTTTGGTTTAGAGGCAGAACTGTCTTGAAGCAATTTTCAAAGAACTTCTTCAAACTGCAGGACAAAGATAAGAATATTCACACCTTTCAAGAAAAAAGTAAGCATTCAATTCAGCATATTTTCTCCCTCAAACGTGATCCACGAAACACAGAGAATGAAAGCCTGCTTGCTCAGTGCCTGCTGGAAAAACATTTAGAAAAGTCCAAGAAGAATGGGTACTGTTTCCAATTATTTCTCATGTTGCATTCCAGTTTTTATGTGTCAACAAAAGGAAAAGGCAAAACATTCATTAAATTGGATCTCTACCCCTTTCTACTCAGATACACAAAGGGCTGAGAATTAGTGGCCAAAGACAAAAAGGTCAAAAAAATCTTTTGCAACAATGAATTGTGTAATTACAGCACTTTCTGTACTTACTGCAAAAACTTCCAAGCTACTCCAAATGGGAACAATTATTAGACTTCGTGTTAGTAGAAACATTTGTCTTCCTTTTGTTTCCTTTCTGTTACTATCAAGTAAATGGAACCAATGCCATTGTCTTCAGTATCCATGGTAAACTTCATTCCCAAACCATTGATTTCATCCCTTTAGAAGGCTAAATCAAACTGTTCTGATCCCATGAACATGTTCCAAAAAACGTAGGTGCCCTTAATGATGACGCAGATACGTAACTCTGTCCATCCCTACCCATGTCTCTGTTCATTAGCTGCTGAAACCTCTCCCATGTCTTTCTTACTTCTAGATTTGAATATTCTAATGCATGCCTGGCTTGTCTCCTATGTTTTATGCTCTGTAAACTTGAGGTCATAAAAAAATTAATATCTCTAATCACACTAAGTTCAGTTCCAATCGTAAACCCTAATATCACTTGTATACATTGTTTCCTGATTAAACAACACCTACACAATAAAATTCTCATTCTAATTTCTAATCCTTCCATGGCTTTGTCTCTGTCTCTCTCTACACAATCTTTGCTGGCTTCATGCCCACCTAGACATTTCAATTCCTTAAATTCTGACCTCTTGAGCATCCCTGACTCTAAGTGCTCCATCACTGCTGGCTGAGCCTTTAGCCTCAAATTCCCTATGTTTTTCTTCTCATTTAGTTGTGTCAGCATTACAGGTTAAAGTCCACATTCAATGGACATTAACATGAATACAGCTAGCTAAACTAGCGTGCCCAGCTGAAATTATGGGATGGTGTTTTCCATTTTGAAGGTAAAGCACAGTGAGAGGACCAGTTTGCTGGGGTGGACATCAAGCTCCTCAAAGCTTTGGAGAAAGTCTTTAGACTGGCCGGAGAAAACCGGCAGCATTCCTGTGAAGAAGGGGAGACATCAATGGATGAGCAATAAGTAATACTGCGCTTTGTTCTTAGATGAACAACAACTGAAACACATTGCTTTGCATAAGCTTCATGCTACCTTCAACAATTAATTATTCTTCTTCTCTTCTGCGGGCTTCCACTACCACCTACAAATGCTTAGCAAGGAAGTGCCTCTGAACCACACCACCTCCGAGGAAGAAATGTATGAAACCTCAAAGGACGTTTGCAAGACATTCACTTGTAGCCTCCAGTAGCACATATCAGACGGTGCCTTAGCTGTGGCATATTCAGAGGTGCGAAATGATAAGAAAATCACTGACATGTGTCTGCTCAGCTAATGAATGAAGAAGGACCAGAAGTCTCTGACACTCAGAGAGCTGTCAGAGGTCAAGCCTATAGCCAAGCCCAGGAAGAAGACATGCCTCTATACTTAGCAATAACAGACAAGGTCAATCAGCAGAGAGTATCACGGCAACATCATGCAGATGTACCAGAATTCCTCAGGAGGCTGGGATGAGAGATGGAGGAGTCTATCCAAGTTCTAACTACTGTAGTGGTCTGGTATGCAAGCATGTTTCTGCCATGAAATGGTGGTGCCTGCCAGATGCAGGTCCAATAAAACACTCAGTGGATGTCAGATATGAGCTAAGACCTATACATCAAAGCTCTAGCCATAGACGCTTAGCATGAATAGCAAAACAACAGCAGGTCAAGGCACAGTATGTAGCCAATTTGCCAATGGGTGGTGCGAGCAGGCACCCATAACAGCAGGCACAACTGTCAAGCACCCCAGCAGCTCCTTCTCAGGACGCTCCAGAGGTGCCCATCCCCTCTACTTATGACCTCAATGCCTGCAGCAGCTCAAGTTAAGGACGGTGAGCCTGTATCTGTGCTGAAGATTTTGAGTGCGTCTGGGTGCTCTAGGCCCAAAACCTCTAAGGGATAATTGCCCAAATCTTCAAAATCACCAGTGTCACACGCAACACTTCCCTCCACTCTAACTGCAGAAATAGGACTTGAACCCAGACGCAGTGGGAGAGAAAGCAAGAAGAAGACATTTTAAGGGCACATCAGTGGCAAGGGTGCTCAACCATTATATCTATACTGTACTTCTCTAAGTACATATTCACTTACACAGTATCTGAAGGTGGTGGATGAGTTGCCAATCTTGCAGAAAGCTTTGTTCTGGATGCGAATCTTCTTGGCGCTGTTGGAGCTGCATCCACCAGGCAAGAAAGTGTCCAAGGAAGTTTCTTAAATCAATATGTAGAGGGCTGTACTCCGGAGGATGCAACACTGGACTTCTTCTTAGGAAACAAGGTCAGGCAAGTGACTGAAGTGTCAGTCGGAAAGCACGCTGGGTTCAGCAATCATAACTCTCTTAGTTTTAACATAGTTATGGAAAAAGACAGGACAGGTCCAAAGATTAAGGTGCTAAACTGGAGCTAGGGCAATTTTGGGGCCATTAGGCAGGATCTAGCAGAGGTCAATTGGGTGAGTCTGTTTGAAGGAAAAGGAAGGACTGGCAAATGGGAGGCTTTTAAATGTGTGATATCAGGAGTCTAGGGACAGTATGTCAGGGTGAAAGCAAAAGCTGGCAGGTTTAGGGATTCCTGGCTGATGAGGGATATTGAGGCTCTGGTCAGGAAAAAGAAGACATACCTTGAGTTTAAGCTATCAGGCTCAAGTGACTCCCTAAATTGTTTAAGGAAGGTAGCAAAGACAAGCACAGGAAACTACAGGCCATTGAGCCTGACATCAGTGGTAGGCCAATACTGGAGAGGATACTGAGGGACAGGATCAACCAACATTTGGATAGTCAAGGTCAGATTAAGGATAGTCAGCATGGATTTGTGTGTGGGATATCATGTTTGACAAATCTTTTCAAGTTTTTCAAAGAGGTAATCAAGAGGATAGATGAGGGTAAGGCAGTGGATGTTGTCTGTATGAACTTTAGTAAGGCCTTTGATAAGGTCCCGCACAGCAGGCTAGTCATGAAAGTTAGGTTGCACAGTATCCAGGGAGAACTAGCTAATTGGATTCAAAATTGGCTCAATGGTAGGAAGCAGAGGGCGCTGGTTGAAGATTGTTTCTCAGAATGCAGGCCTGTGACTAGTGGTTGCCACAGAGGTCGGTGCTGGGACCATTGTTATTTGTTATTTACATAAATGATCTGGATGTGAACGTACAAGGCATGATTACTAAGTTTGCAGATGATCCAAAATTAGGAGGTATCAATGATAGCAAAGAAGGTTATCAAAAATTACTGAGGGATCTTGATCAGATGGGGAAGTAGGCTGAGGATTGGCAAATGCAATTCAATACAGACAAGTGTCAGGTGTTGCACTTTGGAAGGTAGGACTTATACAGTAAATGGTAAGGTCCTGAGGAGTGTTATGGAACAGAGGGACTGAGGAATACAAGTGCATAGTTCATTGAAAAAAGCGTCACAGGTGGACAGGGTGGTGAAGAAGGCATTTAGCATGCTGACCTTCATCTGTTGAAGCATTGAGTATAGGAGTTGGGACATTATGTTACAGTTGTATAAGTCGTTGCTGAGGCCTCATTTGGAGTATTGTGTACAGTTTTGGTCACCCTCTATCAGGAAAGACATTGTTAATCTGAAGATGTTAAAAAGAAGATTTACAAGAATGTTGCCAGGACTAATAGGCCTGAGTTATAGGGACAGGTTGTCCAGGATAGGACTTTATTCCTTAGAACATAGAAGAATGAGTGGTGACTTTATTGAGGTGTATAAAATCATGAGGGGCATAGATAGGATGAATGCATATAGTCTTTTTCCCAGGGATGGGGAATTGAAAACGAGAGGGCACGGGTTTAAGGTGAGAGAGGATAGATTTAACAAGGACCTGAGGGGCAACTCTTCACATAGATTGATGCATATATTAAATGGGCTGCCAGAGAGAGTGGTTGAGGTAGGTACAATAGCAACATTTAAAAAACATTTGGATAGGTACATGGATGAGAAGGGTTTAGATGGATATGGACCAAACGCAGGCAATTGGAACTAGCTAA